ATTGTAGGGAGGTCACTGAGCATCTCCCTTGTTTGGTTTACTCTTCCTGGGCGGAAGCTGCTCCCTGACCACCTGATTCACCTTGGGCTCTGATGGAATCTAAGGCCGCTTGTAACATCAGTCTGTGAATGGCACTTGGAATGTGGGCACAAAATGGGAAATGGCAAATTTGCCCTGAGCCATTAAGAGGTTTGGATCCTCCATCTTTCTTGGAGCCTTCTAAGTCCTGATTCAGATCTTAAATTTGCTTGGAGTAAAGAGGTAACACAGAGTTTATGAATTAAGAAGTAGTCATTGATCAGAGCCGAAATCACTCCTTACCAAACACGCAAATCAAGTATTTTTGAAGTGCACTTTCAGAGCTTGAAGTTCAGGAGAATTTATAAATTCACTAAATCAGGAACACTTCCCCCAGCTCTGGTCTCTGTTGAGTCTAGGAAGCCCAGGGCCCATCCCACCCACAGGGTCCGGTTTTAACTCCAGGGGTGCAAGGTTTTTGAATTGTTTGATTTGAGTTAGTAAGGACTTCAGAGAGGTGCAAACTCTCTCAGCTCCTCAACACTCTCCACACGGTTCTGGGTTCTGACTGGGTTCTTGACCTCCGAGATTGCAGACAGCAGCCGCTATGATGTGCCCAAGAGGATGGATGCCTTCCCAAAGTCAGTTCTTACCTGCCGTCTTGATGAGCCGAGTTCTCTCTGGCTTCTGCCGTGCTGTGTGCTTCAGGCTAGTGGGCCTGTGGGCATCTAGCTGTTTCTCCTGCTTCCACCTCCGTCTGATCATAGGAATCCTAGGTTACAGGTGCCCAGGCCACCACATCCAGCTTTCTATGTGGGTTCCATGGATTGAACTCGGGTCTTCCGGCTTGCTTGAGAGGGAAGCACTTTTACCCAGTGATCCCATCTCCTCAGCTCCAAAGATGCAGTTTCTAAATGGATCCCAAGCGCAGTTTGAGGCCCTCCACCAGCCAAGCGCTTTCCCTCAGAGCATCTTCTCTTTAACCCAGAGTGTCTCATGGATAGCCCTCGACTCTGCCCCGCTTGCCCAGGTCACACCTGCACACACCTGTGCCCTGACCGCCTGTATCCCCCTCACACCCGTCTGTCTTCTCCTTCACACCCGTCTCCTCATCTCGCACGCACTCCCCTCCCTTGTCTGTCTCCTCCCTCGCTCCCTCCGAGAACATGTCTTTGCTGCTCTGAGTAGATGCACTTTTGCTTTTTCCTGGCTTCTCCTCAGTCTTGGCTGTGTGTATCATCTAGAAGCATCCTGACCGGGGAGATAAATATTTGGAGTGGAAAGCCTTTCATCTGAACTCCCATCGGCCTCCTGCCCCCATCCAGCATTGCCCTGCAGGAGCAGAGCATTGCCTGCCGGCCTCCCTTCTCCCTCAGCCCCTTCCTGAAGGTGTGGGCTGTGCTCCAGAACCCTGCTGATGAGGAATTATAGAATGGTGTGCCTTGGGAATGAAATCTGACTTCACCAGCCTCAGGAGGTGCTGTGCTGCCTGGCACGGACACTCCTGTGCTTCCTTTTGGGGCTGTTTTCCTATTCTATGTCTTTAATAGTTTCTTCCCCGTGAGTTAATTTATTTTTCTGTGCTGAACTAACCCCACATTCCTGCCCTGTCTCTTTTTGCTGGGTTTGTATTTTTCCTTATTTTCTGGGTTATGGTTTTCAAATTTCGAATGAACTTCCTGTTCATTTTAAACTTTTTTAGTATTCATATTAACTTTCAAAAACTCCTGATTTTCCCCAGTTGTCCCTTTTTATGGCCTAACTTTATCAGAAATGAAGCCTCTTTTTTTCCTCCTCTGAGCGTGTTACAGTTTTAAGAACTATTTACTTCCTGTGTACTCTTTCTCCAACTGGCCTTTTCCTATGCATTATTTGGGCATCAGTCTTTGGTCCTGGGCTCTTTGCTTGGTCACTTCTCCTTCACCACCCTGTCCACTTCAGTGTGAGGCACAGCGTGCACACCGGGGAGTCTGGTGATGAGCCGAGGGCATCCAAGATCCAGCTTGCTAAGTGATGGAGCAGGAAGTGCCATCTGCTAGGTTGGTCTCAGTTTCTCCAGGAAAAGACTTCTTTGTATTTGTTGTCAGGGACAAGGCTTGGCCTTGAGTGTATGCCAGAAGGAGGTATCCCGAGGACAGGAGGAGGAGGTGGGTCCGGGCGGGAGGGGAGCCCTTCACACACAGCCTGATAGACTGGCTCTCCTGGGCTAACCATCCCACCTAGAACCTGGGTTGTTCCTTCTGTGCAGTGTGTCAGGTCCTGAAGCCTCTTTGGTTTTGTTTCTTCTCGTGATTGGGGGTGGGGGGGGGCATTGTGTGTCTTAACCTAAGGTTATTTTCACATTTTTATGATAGTCCATTTTCTTTAAGGGTTTTTTTTTCAGGATCATATTTCCTAAAATTAGAGCTACATAGAGAAGATCAGCATGGTCTACAGAAAGATGAAATGCAAATTCATAGTGTTCCAAATCTTTAAGAAACAGTCCTGGAGCTGGAGAGAGGGCTCAGCAGTTATGAACACTGGCTGTTCTTGCAGAGGACCCAGGTTCGAATCCCAGCACCCACATAGCAGCTAACAACTGTCCATAACTCCAGTTCCAGGGGAACTGTCGTACGGGCATTGTACAACACGGGTACACTTACCTACATGCAGGCAATACGTGCGTACACATAAAATAAAAATAATAAATAAAATATTAAAAAAGAAACAGTCCCACATAAACCAGACCTAAAAATAGAAGTAAAAATGATAAAGCTATTAGAAGGAAATAGGAGGAAAGCTTTATGACCCTGTCTTTGGCAATGATTTCTTGAATATGATGCCAAAACACAATGAACAAACGTGGATAAGGCAGAGCTCATCAACATGAATGCATTCACATACCAAAGAGGCCGCCAACAGGATAAAAAGGCAACCCACAGAACATGGAAAAATACGTACAAATCATATATCTGATAAGGGATTGTTACCCAGGCTTTATAAAGAATTCCTATAATTCAACAAAGACTCCATCTGATTAAAAGTGGCACCGGATTTGAATTAACATGTCTCTGAGGGAGAGTTAGAAATGGCCAAGGTCGGCAAAAGAGATGCATCACAAATCACTCTGAGCAGGCCAGTCAAAACCACACTGAGTCACCATTCTGCTCATCAGAATGCTTAGTATTAAAACGACAGAGCAAAAATATCATGAACTTAGGAGGAAGTGGAAAAATGATAACCCTTCACTGATGAGGGCAAGGTTCAAAGGTGGTAGTGCATGCCTTTAATCCCAGCACTCGGGAGGCAGAGGCAGAGGCAGGCAGATCTCTGTGAGTTCAAGGCCAGCCTGGTCTACATAGTGAGTTTCAGGATAGCTGGGGCTACAGACAGACCCTGTCTTAAAAAGATCGAAAAAAAAAAAAAAAAAGGTGGCGTTATCATAGAAAAGAAAAAGGCAGTTCTCCCAAAGATTAAATAAATGTGTGGCAATTCTGCAGATGTATGGTACCCTGTTCTGTGGGTTCTAGGCAGACTGGGGTGGTGTAAAATAGGGAACCAGGACTGTCTGACTTAAGGTTTAGTTTCAAAGTTAAAGTGTGTATGTGTGTGTGTGTGTGTGTGTGTGTGTGTGTGTGTGTGTGTGTGTATGTGTGTGAGCTGTCCAGGGCTGCAGTCACCAAGGCTGGATTAGAGTGTAAATCATGGCACTAGGTTGTTGGTTTGTGGTGCTTGTACACTTTCCTCAGTGCCTTATGACAGTGCCGTGGGTGTGGTGTGCATCCAAGTTTACCCGAGTACTGTATGCTACCTTCCAACTGTACCTCAGAATATCTTAAGATATCTTGCGATTCTAAGGAACATACTTCAGCACAAAATATGTATCATCTATCAAAGATCTTCCCCGGGGCCAATTAAACATCCGCTCTATGCAGGGACACAGCGACCACAGCTAGTTGTCATGTGGCTTTTCATTTGTCTCCTGTTGTATACCCAACTAGAAGAGATGAAGACCCATGAACGCCTGTTCGTAGTCACCCTAACATGCTACCTTGGAAGTCCTCCAACCTCCATGCAGAGGACTGAATCCAACATTCATCCTGCTTCCTCCCATGACCTCCTCTGTCATCAGCTCTTTCCTTCTCCATCTGTCTTGAACTCCCTTCTGCCTGTACCTTCAGCCGATCATACAGCCTGGCCCATTGCAGGGTGTTTCCCAGACCGACAGGCCCCTTCAGTGCAAGAAGCACCCTGGCAAACTCCAGGGTGTCTCTGAGTCAGGTATGGTGGCCGCAGGCAGAGGACAGGCTTTTGATGTTTCTTTTGAGGGTTAAATGTTTCTGAAGTCTAATGTGGGTCAAGCTGCTAAGGACTCCTGACTCAGACTGTACTGAAACTGACTAAACTTTCCTATGTCACACTGTTGGTTGCAGGCATTTCATGGTTAATTGTAGACAAGGTGACATCAGGCATCACTGTACCACAAGTACACACTTCTGATGAGGGCATGGTATGCACCTGGACTGTCGTTCAGAGGCGGGCTGAGCAGTGTCACACATGTTCCTGTACATCCTTCTCCCCTTATCTCACAACCCGCCCTGCTGAGACATGACCCCCTTCCTTGCAGCCTGGGTGCTATGGGAAAGTTGAGCTGCAGTTCCCTAAGAAACATCCCCAGTGAGGTGCCCTTTGCAAAGCCCCTCAGTAGTTGACTTCCAGGGATCACTGGAAGGCTGCAGGTGGATGTTCTTCCAGAAGGATCTTTCTGGGCTTCCTAGCTCTGAACCATTTCAGGCTGGGTTAGTGTGTAAACCTACATTCTGTAGAGGCCTGCCTGGGTTCACCTTGAGCTCTACCATGTGTAACAGTGTCACTGGGGACCCAGGTGGAAGAGAGAAATGGCCCCTTCACACCCTCCACACCCTGTAAGACAGGGAGGACGTGCTTGGAGACAGGATAGTGTCTCTAATAGTATTTTAATGCTGTGTTTTTCTTCCTTCCAGCCAGCTGCCTCCCGTTCGTGTTCAAAGGTGGGAGCAAAGGCCCAGCCCTGCTGGCTCTGCGAAGCCGGACAGATTCCCGGGGGCAGATGAGCAATGACGTGGCAGAAGATGCTGTGGGCTCCCGCAATGCCACAGGTATGACAGACCCACAGGGTCACCGGCCTCCCCAGGCCCATGCTGGCCCTGCCCTGCATTCTCGATCATTCTGAGAGGGGACCTTGTGAGCAATGTGGTCAGGACAATTGCCCACGGTTGGGAGGGATGTGGGGACCGTACAGTGCTAGAAAGGGACTTAGGACTATAGACGTGGTCTCGCCCCAGTTTTTGAAGCACTTTGAATGACTTCTTCCTACTTTCTGAAGTTAGAGCAGTCACCTTCTTGATAAATGCAATAATCTAATTAGTAATTTAATGGACAGCGGAGGGCATCCTTGATCACCAATGAACACGAATCTTTCAATGTGTAAATAATCTACATTATTTTTATCTGATGAGTTTTTAAAAAACATTTTTTATGTGTTTAAGCGCATTGCCTGCATGTGTGTACGTACACCCCTGGACCTGGAGTTACAGAGTGTTGGTAGCCGTCATGTGGGTGTTGGGAATTGAACCTGGTCCTCTGCAAGAGCAGCCAGTGCTCTTCACTGCTATGCCGTCTCTCCAGACCCATATCGGATGGTGTTTACTACTAACCCAATGATTGACAAAAATGCTCTGATTTAACCTTTTTATAAAATGAGATTATTGTAACCTTAAAAACGGAGTTCCTGAACAGCCCTTTCTGCTCTGCAAGCCAGAGATCAAGGGCCCATCTCTTGTCCTGCTTTTCCTGGGGGCGCATGAACTCCTGTCTGTTCACCTCACTAGGGCACTGAGAACAGACCAAAGACATGACTCCACCCAAGTCTATCTGGGTGAACAAGGACTGACTGAGGTCACTTAATGGAAGTAGGGTTACTGAAGGGCAGCTGTACCACTGTGAAGTCCATCCCAGCACAGGCAAGGACTCAGGAAAGCTGAGGGGCATCCCCAGAGCTCCCTACCCAATCTGCAGGTGGCTCAGCCCAAAGTCCGTCTCCCAGCAATTGTTTACTGTTCTTACATCACTAAGGCTACACACACCTTGTGAGTCCTATTACGTGCTAAGCTTCCTTTCTGAGATTAGGAGCTTCCAGGGTCTTAGGAGCCTCCCTCCCAGAGAGAAAGCTTCAACCCAGAGGAAATACTACTAACTGCATGATACCAGCTTTTAGCGTGTATGTCTCTAGGAAACACCTGGTACTTCTTAGCTCCAACTGCATGTAACAATAAAAATCAGGTCTTTTCATGGTGATGGAGGTCTTTGTTTAACTGGGCATGCCTCGGTAGCCACATCGTTCCTTCTCTTTTGAGTTCCACTGAGCATCTTCAATGTCTGGATTGTTTCTGGTGATCTAACAGGGTCAAGAGAGGATCCCAGTCTCAAGCACTACTCTCCCCCGGGGCAGTCAACAATCAAGGGAGCAAACAGGTGCTGTATTTCAGAGATCCAGCAGTGTCCTGAAGAAAGGCAGGTTCATAAGAGGTTGGTGGGGCGTTAGGGAGAGCTGCAGGTGGGAGAGTCCTGGAGCACTCACCAAGCAGGGCCCAAGCACAGTCCTGGGCAGATGTGGGGAGGAACATCCTGGCCACAGACAAGAGCAGAGGTCAAGGCCACTGGCCAGTCTGTCTTGGTGAGTTCAGAGCTGAACAGGAGGCAGTTGGTCAAGCTTCCCAAGGTGAGCAAGCCTGGAGCGGGGACCACGCACGGGGCCACAGGTGCAGAGAGAAGCAGGAGCCTGTCTTTGGTCCCTGGAGAACACAGGGGCTAGAGAGATGTGTACATGTGATGTGTCCTAAAAGACCACTCAGTCAGCCACAGATGGGCACAGGAGGGTAAGACCAAGCAGACATCTAAGACAGCAAGGATGGTTGTCAGCTCAGAGTGTGACCACACTAGGAGGAAGAGTTGTGTCAGACACGGTGGGGTCCACGGGAAGTACAGAAGACAGAAAGGGTGTCTTCCTGGGTAGGCTGTGTGTCATGGTTCTGCCCTGGATCCTGTGGTTACAATGAGAAAACAGGGATGATGCAGGGATGGGAAGTTGTGCTTAGGCATGTTAAAGAGAGAGGGGCCTTTTAGACACTCGTCCAAATAATGCTGAGCCAACAGTGATTATATCACCTTTCTCTTTTGGCCTTGGCTGCTAAGAGGCTTCTAGAAAAATTAGTCTTTGAAGATTTTATTATTTTTGAGGCAACGTCTCATGTAACCCAAGGTAGCCTTGAACTCGCTGTGTAGCCAAGGATGGCCTAGAGCTTCTGATGCTCCTGCCTCCTCCTCCAGAGTGCTGAGATTACAGGCATGGGCCATGGTTTTATGCAGTGCTAGAGATGGAACTCAAGGCTTCATAGATGCTAGGCAAGCACTCTGTCCACTGAGCTACCCCCCCCCCAGTCCACTGTCTTGGAAGTTTAAATGGGAGAAAAGTATTAACTTGAAGCTGTGTCTGTATGTTGGTGCAGAGGACAAGGAGAAAAAAGTCCCAGTCTCTGCTTCTGTTACCAGTTAGGGATCAAGGATGGTCGCTGTCTGGGTGTTATGGACGTGCTTATCTTCTCCACCAATTAAAGAGATAAAAGGCAGGAAAAGTCTCAAATACAGCAGACATTATTAAAGAAACATACAGAGAGTCACACGGAGAGAAACGCCTGATTCAGGAGGGCTCAGGCCTTATAAGTGGTTCGTTTTGTTTTGTTTTGTTTTGTTTTTTTCTAGTTTGGGGAAGCTCCTCCTCTAAACTTTGGGTCAGCTTAAACAACTAAGGGAGAGCCATAGGTCATAGCTCCAAACTGTCAAATCTAGCTTTGGTCTTATCTAAATGGGTCTGAACCAGTTAGCCAGCACAGGGGCCCTGCCAGGGGGGAGGGAGAGCCTGCCAGGTCCTAGAAGAGGCAGGAAGTGCACCACATTTATATGCATCAGTGACTCTGTGAGCTTACTAGGGATTTGGTCCCTACAGTTCATTTGATTCTTTGGTCTTTGCTCCAGTACCACCCTCATCCCTAGCTTTGTAGAAGTGGGAACTAGACTTTAGGAAGTTACGTCACACCAGGCTTCTAGCTTACTAATGCATCCGACCGTGAATTCATTTTGGTTAGAAATTTTTTTAAAAATTTGTTTTTATTAATATTTTTGTATTTCATACAGAATACCTCAAACAATCTGAATCATCTTTGTAGCCCTGTCCCCACCATCACCCTCCCATAGCCCCCCCCACCGGAACCCATGTACTCTGTCCTAGGTGTTAAGGCCACTGTGTCAAGTGTCCCCAGACATCGCCCAGTGCAAGTCCATCCACTTGTGGTTTAGTCAGATCCCTCTCGTCTATCTTTCCAGACACCTATCATTTTCTTTTCTTTTAACAGAGCATAGGGAGGGGGCTAATTTACAGAGGAGTGGGTGCCCCCCATTTTTGGCTGCACTGGAAAGTCCACACTCAAACATAGACCCTGTGACTTCCCGACAGCTGCAGAAATCAGACCACGAATTTTGACTTAACAACAGGAATAATCCATCTCTATCATCTAGAGCATTTCTGTCTATGATGCAGTGGGACCCTCTGCTCACTGCTGAGACACCTAGAAAGCCAAATCAGGAACTGAAGACCACTTAGACACGGGAACCACGTGCATTGAAGCCCCGTCATGGTCACCTCAGTGATGTCACTGAAAGGCTCTTGTTTCTTGGTTGAGAATGTTTTTCTGACGGCTTGACTTTGCCTCTCGGACTTCATCTTTTTCATCCTCTACAGAGTCTTTCTATCAGCTGCCATAGCATTAATTGTCAGCTTGACGATAAGAAGCAGGCCTCTGGGTACACCTGTGAGGGACTGTCTAGTTCGAGGCCAGCCTCTGAGGATGTCGTGGGGAATTGTCTTCAGTGAATTGATATGGGAAGACACATCTTACTTGGTTGCACACAGAACCATTCGCCAAGCAGCGGATTCTGGATTGCATACAGTGCAGAAAGGGGGCCAAGCGCCTGCATGGGTGACTCACTGTCCTCTGTTCGTGACTGTGGCCACAATGTGACCAGCTCCCTCAAGCTCCTGCCACAGTGACTTTCCCACCATGGTGGACCATAACCCACAACTGTGAGCTAAGTGAACTCTCCCTTATGTTATTTTTGTGGGGGAATTTTTATCACAGCAACAGAAAAGGAACCAAGGACATAACTAACATGTTTCTGAACCAGCCTCACCCTGTCAGTCAGCAATCCTTCCTTCAAAGTCTTGCTGTCTCTGGTTTTAGTGCCGCCTCTGGCTTTAGTGCATCACGCAGCGGGGTGCAGCGGCCATGCTCAGGAGACAGAATTTCCTTTTCCTCCTCGTTCCCTATGAACCACAAACAGTAAATGATTGCAGTCTAGATTTGTGCTAAACCTTTCTCTCTCTCTCTCTCTCTCTCTCTCTCTCTCTCTCTCTCTCTGGATTTCTATTGTGAGCAATCTCTGTTCTTTTTGGAGAGAAAGGGAATTTGTATTTTGAATGCAAATAAAATCCTAATGGTTGATATTTATTCCCTTTATACTACCCAAGTAATTGCAATATTTCTAAATTTATCTTTAAAAAAATCTATATTTTGTTTATAGCAAAATTATCATCCAATCATAATAGCCAACATATATCAAAAGAAATATACCCCAAAGCTATGCATGAATGCTTTCTCAGCTGAAGGTCTAATGATTGCCAGTTATATTTGAAACAGCATAATTCTGTCATAGCAGATTGTTTGAACAATACATAAGCAGCCTTTCCACTTAGTGTTTTTGAAGACATACTCTGATTTCAGCACCAAGACAGAATGCAAGGTGTTATGGTTAGCTTTATGCAACTGAGAATCACCTGGGAAGTGTCCCTGAGGAATTGTCAGGCCTGGGCCGGCCAGTGGACATGCCTGTGATTATCAGACTATTTGAGGTGGAAAGACGCACCCGAGTGATTCCCTGGGCTTGGAGGGCAGCCATGCACGCATTCATTCCGGATTATGGATGTGATGCGACCAACCCCCTCAGGTTCCTAGTGCCTTGACTTTCCCTAAATGATGGACTGTAA